GAAAAGATATGGAGACAAAATACATCCCTGATGGACTCCTTTCTTGATTTTGAACCATCCAATGTCTCCCTGCTCTGTTCTGACAACTGCCTCTTGGTCCAAGTACAGGTTTCCCATTAGCACCATCAAATGTTCTGGGATTCCCATTCTTCTCAGAGTCAGCCACAGATTGTTGTGCTCCACACAGTCAAAAGCTTTTACATAGTCAATGAAGCACAGATATACATTCTTCTGGTACTCTTTGCCTTCTGCCAAGATCCATCTTACATTAGCTATAATATCCCTAGTACTGCGACCTCTTCTAAATCCAGCCCTCACATCTGGAAGTTCCAAACATTTTTGGATAATTTTCAGCAGAATCTTGCTTGCATCTGATATAAATTATATTGTTCGATAATTTCCACACTCTGTTGGGTCACCTTTCTTTGGAATGGGAACAAATATCGATCTCTTCCAGTCAGTTGGCCAGCTGGCTGCCCTCCAGATTTCCTGGAACAACCTAGTGAGCACATCCAGGGCAGCATCTGTTTGTTGAAATAAATCAATTGGTATACAGTCAACTCCTGGAGCGTTGTTTATTTGCCAATTCCTTCATAGCAACTTGAACTTCCTCCTTCATCACCATAGGTTCTTGCTCATATGTTATTTCATGAAATTCCTCTGGATCAGCCAATTCCTTCTGATAAAGTGACTCTGTGTACTCCTTCCATCTTCTTTTGATTCATCATAAGAGACTTCAGGTTCCAAATCAGCAAATAAATTCTCCCTGAGCATCTCTGGGCTCCAGCCTGGGAATAAGGCTGATTATTACCACTTAGCCTGGGACTACAACATTGATGCTTACACAGTGCTCCAGGTCAGTGGGGAGTAAGACACACGCAACATGCTTCCCCTAACGATGGACCTTCTCTGTGCTGCTTCAGCCAGAATATCTGCTCTCTCTTGCTTGGCTCAAATCTGATATCCAAGATCAACTTCAAAGAATGCATTTCTGTTATCACATCTCCCCCTAAAATCGTATCATTTAAATAAACTCATAGTATGGTGTTTTGAAATGTAGAGATGCTTCAAATCTAGAATTGGTTTCCCAGGAAAATCTGTGATATGATCAGGGCAGAACCAAG